GCTCAGACTGCATATGGAGCCAACACTAAGGAGTGGCGACAACTGCCAACCTCCATCTAAATTGCTAGTTCCTACCTAGCTTCAACTGACTATTGCCACAATGGAATGTGGACCAGACTTGCCTGATCATTTTTTTTTTTTTTTTACAAAAACTGGAAATCAGGATTTCTATAGAAACCTTCCAATTTACTGGCCACACCAACACATCTGCAATCTGAAACATTCATCCTGCAGGATCAAGTGTGGCCCTGCCTGTTAGTCATTCCCAACTCCTACTGCTCCTCTCCACATCTGTCATCTCTTCACTGATGATCATTTACTGTTTGTTCATCCCCGAAGAAGTTACTTAAATGTTGTGAGGATTGTTTTATTTAATTGATGCCTAATCTCTGGATCTAGTCAGAGTCTTGGGACATAATAAGAATGGGAAGGGAAAGGACAGAGAAGTGACATTAGAGGTACCCGGGTCTATTGCCTCTCCTGGGAGTCACGAGGAGGTACACAAACCAGCTTCTGATTAGACTTCAGAGTGAAGTGGTGACCTCTGTCACATGCCACCATACTCTGCTCCACCAGCCAATTCTCTGGGTCCATGGACTTGGAATTCTAGCTCTACTTACTGAACATCCACTGTGTGCCAGGTCACAGCTAAGGGTGTTCACATACATTCTTACAGTTACCCCTCAGAGCCACTCTTCCAGGTGAGTTTTATTATGCCAAGTTTTCCAAATGAGGGAACCAAGTGGTTAAGTGGCTTGCCTCAAATCACATGTCTAGTAAATAGCAGTGTTCAGCTTCAAATCTTGGTCTTCTAACCCCAAGTATGTTTCCACTGAGTGCATTGTTGTCACGCAAGATGGTCTCAGTACCACATCTGGGGGCCACTGAGGAGGAGGGGGAACAGCCCCTTTCTTCTCCCTCACTGGATATACATGATTGAAGGTGTGGTTTGCCCAGGATCATTTTGATCCTGGTAAAGGTCTTTATTGAAGTCTTGCTCATGTCCTCTACTTATTTATCACCATTCCCAGAAACAAAAACCATGTCATAAAAAAAAAATTTCAAAAAAAGCTATCATACATTTCCAAGCTTGGAATATAAATGATTTTGCTCCATTAGTCCCAATTTACATCCCTATGAATTCCACTTTACAAGAGTCTCTATCCTCCACCAATGCCTCATGAAATCCTGTCTCTGATAGAACTTCTGGCTGGGTCCAGTGTTCTAGTCTAGACTGCACTCCCTGGAATCCACGTCCTCCTCAGGTTTTTTTACTCATGCTTCTTTGTGATGGTTCTAGGTTAAGTTTCAGTGATTTCTGTGGGAAATCCAGTTTCTTCTGATAATCTCTACAGTGTCTAAACAATAGATGACAATGGTAGAATCTCTTGATTCTGGCCATTAGAGACCCTTTTATATTCATAGTTAACACCTATGAAACACCTTCGTTGTAAGTGCTGTATTTAGCACCGGAGATAGAAAAGTTTTGCTGCCCTTGAGGCTCTCTCAGTCCTGTGTGAGAGGCAGGCATGGAAACAAATAATTCCAAAACAATGTGACAAGTTCCCAGGACCAGTGCTGGCATAAGAGGAGGAGAGACCAATACTGCCCACCAGAGAGAACAGGTCCACCCTCTCCCCATCCACACCAGCATTTGTTGTTTGGGGACTTTTTGATAAAGGCCATTCTTACTGGAGTTAAGTGATATCTCATTGTGGTTTTGATTTGCATTTCCCTGATGATTAGAGATGTTGAACATTTTTTCATATATTTGTTGGCCATTTTTTGATAGAGTTGTTTGATTTTTTCTTGCTCATTTTCCAGAGTTCTAAATAGATTCTAGTTATCAGCCCTTTATCAGATGTGTAACTTGCAAAAATTTTCTCCCATGCTGTGGGTTGTCTGTTTGCTCTCTTGACAGTTTCTTTGGCTGTGCAGAAGTTTTTTTAACAGGTCCAAAAGCTGGGGAGGGAGGCGGGAGCGAGGGTGCTGCACCATGCAGTGGGGGCCCCAACTTTCAGATTTCTTTTACATTGTTGCTCTTCCTTGGGCCACACAGAAAGATAAAGTCAGTGGTTCTGCAGGTTTCTGGAGAGCCAAAAGTGGTTCTTCAAATTAGCTGATCATAGGTGGCTTCTACGAGAGTAACTCTAATCTGAAGAAATGTCACCTTATCATTTCTTATTACATCTGCCTTGTTTCCTCGGTCTGCCGCAACCAAGGGGCCCTGGGTTCTAAACATGCAGAACCATACTACCTAATGAAAAAAGGGTTTTGATAAAAGCTTGGTATTAAAAATTAATATGGAAGATTTCCAGCCACAGCAAGTCATGCCCTTTCTACAAGATTGAGTCATCACGTAGGCATTTGACCATGGACCATGAAACATCTCTTCCTGTCTTTCCATAGCTAAAACTTTCCAAGTACATTTCCATGACAAAAAAGATTTGGCCTTGGAAAGAAGGCTATGCTATTTTGGTCTGAGTCTCTTGGGAAGTCAAGTCTAGGAAAAAAAGGCTAAGTGGTAGAGCCTTAATCATAGCCAGGCCTGACAGTGGTCACCACTTCTCTTCTGTTGAGGACACAATATTTCCAATGACCTGAAATGTACAAGAGATGTGTTCAGGGTCTCTTGGTCCCAGTTCTGGAGAAGCATACAAATGCCCCCATGAAGCTCGGGGCCTCGAAAAGGATAGGTAGTTATGAATTCTGTTGGCGCATTAACAGAGGACTTGGGTTGTATTAAACGTAATCTGATAAAACCTTTGGTCATGGTAGTCACAATATTTGAAAATGAAGTCAAGGAGCATTGGGGAAAGATAAAAAAGATTCATAAGAAAGCTTCTAACTGATAACATTCCCTACAATGCATTATTTTCTAATATGGTAGCAGGTGTATTGTACAAAGTGTTCATTCCCATGTGGAGAGCTGGTTGGGGAGCATTGGAAAATTGTAGGACCATCATAACGGGACGAGAATGGTGAACCCGATGGGTTGGATGGGGCCCTTATGGGAGATATAGGTTAGTATAGGTGTCAAAATTGCTCATACTGGGCTACAGAAAACTTGAGAGGCTGGACTAGGCCAGGAGAAGGAATCCTGATTAAGAGAAGCCAGAATCCTGGAACCAGAGAAGCAGTAAATATCAGGACCAGATGAAGTAAATCAATGAACAAAAAGAAAGTCAAGTTGTTGCTAAGACAACCCAGAATGGATCCAGAAATAAAGTGCAAGAGGACACAGGGTAAAAGGCTCAGGGAGGGGTGTGCTTTATGTGATGCTGGTGGGGGGTGCTGACTGGCTTAAAGAATCAGAGCTGGGTCTATGTTCAAACCTCCTGGATTTATACAGTGCTGGAATCCCCAAAATGTTTGAGAGCTGCAGACTTTGGAACTCCTCTAGCTCAACCTTCCCAATTCACAGGTGAAGAAGCTGAGGCCCAGGGCACACAGCCATTCAGAGTCAGACAGGATTCCGAGTTCTGGGCTCTGTGACTTCCCACACTCCAGTTGACTAGGAAACATTTTTAGTTCAACACGTAATTGGCATCTACTATATGCCAGGCCCTGTGGTAGATGGTGGTGATTCAAAGATGCACATGAATATTATGATGATTGGTGAGCTAGAGAGCTTCAGAACTAATTGTTATACCAGCTAAGAATTACCAATAGATTTTAACAATGTGGATAAATGCATATATGACGATGCTAAGTGAGGAAATAGGAAACAAAACTGTGTATACAGTTGACCCTTCAACGCAGGTTTGAACTGCTTGGGTCCACTTATAAGAGGATTTTTTCAACCAAACGTGAATCGAAAATACAGAATTCTCAGGCGAAACCCAGGTAAACGGAGGGCCAACTTTTTCCATAGGTGGGTGGATTTAGGGACTTGAGTATGCATGGATTTTGGTATAGCCAGGGTCCTGGAACCAGTCCCTGATACACGGGGAGACAGTGGTACGTATGTTCCAGTTTCATTCTGTTAGGAAATACATAGAAACCTGAGAAATGCAATAACCCACTAATGAACCAAGCCTTACTTGGACCCTGAGTTATAAATCTAGATGCACATATTTGATTGCCCTGCTTTGAGGGCCAGGACCGAGGTTTTGCACTCGTATCACCGCATCTTGCTCCAACCTGCCACCCACTAGCAGCTCAGTAGAGGCGGAAGAAATAAACGAAGCTTCCTTCCTCACGTGGCCGCCACCAGGCAGGAGCACCGCTGCTAAGGAGGAGAATAAAAGAAGGCTGGAGAGAAAGGTACTCTCTTAAACAGTACTTGCCCCAAGTAGAAAAACTAGCCATTTCCGGACAGATGGCAACTGACGTGCTCCCCCTGGAGGCGGCACAGGATGCTCTGGGGGTGTCCCAGCGAAGCACCTGGGGTCCCTGGCCCCCACCCAGTCCGGCTGCGGGCGGAACCAGGGACTAGAGGTGGCTGTCGCGGTTGACGCTGGCACAAGTCGGGTTGGCCCTGTGGGGTGTGGGTCCAGGGGAGGGTCCCCGGCAGAGACTGGCTTGGGGAGATGCCCTCCGTTCCTCCAGATGGCGGGGTCTCGACAGCAAGCAGCGGGACGACGGGCTCAAAGAACTCCAGCACCCCACCCCTTTAGAGTGTCTTCGTGAGACTATTTAATTAAGGGGCGCATACTATCACAGGAGCAGACACCCACCCATGACTTTTTCCTGCTGCCTGATCCAGTCCGGGGGCAGGGATGCCGGGGTGGCAGGCCCGTAGGTCCGCCCCGCACCTCCTAGGCAATCCCTGCTCCACCCCCTACCCCCACGCCCCTCTTGCCCACCGCCTCCCCCCACCGCGTCCGCGGGCGTCATCGCCCCCTTCCCCCTCCCATCTCCCGCCGCGGCCGGCTGCGCCGCGCTCCCGCCCCCTCCGCACTGTGCGCCGAGCTCCGGGCGTGGCGGCCGGCCTGCAGGGGCGGCCTCGGCTCGGGTCGCTCCGCTCCGGCTCCGGCTCCGTGGTCCGCAGGCTCCGGGCAGCAGCGCCCCCGCCCGCCTTCCCGCCCGAGCGTCGGTGCCCGCAGCGCCCGCGGGGAGCGAACGAGGTGTACAGGTAAGGATGGAGCCACCAATGCAGGGCGAGTCCCTGGAACCTGGAAGCTTCCCCGAGAACCGCAGGACCCACCCGAGGGGAGCGTCTTTGAAGGGCTTCAAAGAAAGGGATCAAACAGCACTTTCTGTCCTCAAAGAAACTGCCCTGCCCATAGAAAATTCTGTGTGCTGGGAGACTTGCTGCAGAGTTTAATAGTAAGAGCAACAATATTTGCACTGGAATATAAGTAGAATTCTTTCTACTTAAGCAGTACCAGAGGGGGCTGTATTTTTGTGATTATTAACAGATGCCATTGGAAAAGGTGTAGAACCTATTCCTGGAAAGTCTACTCCTGCTGAAAGCCTCTTTGGCAGGGTTACTATGAAAGCTAGCCTCTCTGTGCATCCCCCTTTTTATCAACTTGGCTGCAGGGGTCCGCAAAAGGGGCGGTGGAAACCATTGAGACTTTAAGAATGTGAAATGAAATCGAGAAGTCTTGGACTTGCTTTAAAATACCCTAGCAAAAATAAAGTGGGGTGGGGGAGATGCATGAAACAAGATTGGCAAAATATTCGTAATTGTTGAAGCTGGGTGATGGGCACATACCTTTCCCTTTACTTTTGAGTAGTCTTGAAATTTTCTATAATGCATATTTTAAAGGTATAGAAACACTCCTGCTTGATCACTGTTTTTACACTGTCATTGACTTGACAAGAAGCTGCATATCTAAGGGGTTTCCCCCCTTTCTTAACCCTTCTAACTTCTGAAATTCTCATTTTATCCTAAGTACATTTGTCTCTACAGAGGATTATAAAAGTCATATTTTGGTGCCTGGAGAATTATGCTTAGAATCTGATTTATAATTTAGAAGAGAGAATGTTAAAATCCCAGCCAAATAAGACATCTAAGCTTGAAAGCAGTGGCCAGGTGTCATCTAGAATTTTACTTTTATTAGGAAATATTAGTGTGAGAAGGGGTGGATGTGTTAACCTCCCCACTTTTCATCCAGGCACCTGGGAAACCTGAATGCTTTTAAGAATCTTTTTCATGTTTTAAAATATGAGATTGTTTAGCACATGCTTGGCACATAGTATGTCCTCATTATATGTTAAAATAAACAACTGCTAGTGCAATTTTCCCTACTGAGTAAATTATTTTTCTCTGCCCAATGCTCAAATATCCAACAAGCATATTGTTGGATAAAACTGATCCATTTTAACAGTGCATCAGGCTCAGAATTTTGGAGGATAAAACTGCCTCATCTGAGCACAGAGTTACCTTTGCAGATGAAAAATCTGATATGGAGAAGTTAGAAAACAGTAAGGTCACATTAGTGGTATCCAAGTTATTTTATAATTTAAAAGATTTTAAAGCTTTATATGTAAAACTGATACATGATTAGCAGAAAACATGACCATGAATGCTTTAATGCCTGAAAAGTAGCAAATCTTTACAAATATTCTTTGCTTTCAAAGGCCAACTTGAAAAACATAAAGATAAGTCTTTTAGAGAGCCATATGCTGTGTACTTCATAAGTCTGCATAGGAAGGTGCTCCCTTGGGTCTCCCTTATGCCATCCACCCCCTATTTGATTTACACACAGCACATCATTGCAGAAATTGAGATGTACGTGTCCTGGAAAAATAGCTGAAAAACAAAGGGAGGTTTGATTTTTTATTGTGATGAGAAACAGAAGTTGTGGGTTACTGTAAAATAATCAACTGTGTAACTTTACCATCTTCCTTTCCCTCAAGTACTGCCAAACTTTTTGAGCAGACATTACTTTCTCTCCATTCCTGAAACTGAACTTGAAAATAATGCTCTGGTATGATATTTTGAATAGAATTTGGCACACTGCCAATGAACTTTCTTGCCATTTATTCTCAGCACAGAATCAGAGTAGAACTTATCCTTCAGTAATGGATTATAAAGTATTTGATAAACATATGTGAAATATTTGGCAAGTTTAAGATTTTCCTTAGTGTTGAAATACAGTGCAGCACATTTGGGGGACTGTTTAGCAGTGCTGTAGGTCATGGTGGAAGTGTGCTGGCACCTCAACTGTTTTTGGAAAACCACCTGCCAGAAAATTGTCTGGCTGTACATGGTGTTATCAGCCTTCAGTTCATCAGGATGGGCTCTGTGGCCTGTAGGTGGGTTTTCTAAATGTAATAAATTCCACATGTGACAACAATTTAGTGTATTATTAATAGCCAGTTAGACATTTTCCCCCTGCTGAATCCCATATGCTTTTAAAATAAAATCTATTTCACAGCTGAGTGAATACAAACAATTTAAATGCCTGGCTTAGATTTGCCATTACTAGGCTAGTTTTGCCCTCTAGTGGTAGTAACGTGGATAGCAGGCAAGTTCCTCCCCTGGAGGACTAGGAATTAGAAGCTTTAGAACTTCTTTGGAGATCATTGATGGGTTTTACCATTTGTGGTGTGGTTTACAGGTGCAAAACATCTTAGAAATTTCTAGTCCAAACAAATAGTTAAAAAGGACTATCAGATAGTCTTAAAAAAGGCTTTGAGACTGGCGCTGTTGGCTCACACCGAATCCCAGTGCTTGGAGGCTGAAGAGGAGGATTGCTTTGAGCCCGGAGTTGAGACCCCCTTTCTCTACCAAACTTATTATTAGGGGGTGTGGTAGACATACCTGTATCCTAGCTACTCGGGGGACTGAGGTGCGGAGGATCCCTTAGCCCGGAAGTTCAGGGTGCAGTGTACTTATGATGCCCACTGCACTCCAGCCTGGCTGACAGGAGCCAGAGCCTGCTCTAGAAAAAATTAAAGGCTTGAGCGGCGTGGTGGCCTCACGCCTGTAATCCTAGCACTTTGGAGGCCGAGGAGGCGGATCGCTTCGAGGTCAGGAGTTCGAAACCACCTGAGCGAGACCCCGTCCTCTACAAAATAGAAAAACTTAATTGACCAACTAAAATATATATACAAAAAATTAGCCGGCATGGTGGCGCATGCCTGTAGTCCAGCTACTCGAGGCTGAGGCAGTAGGATCGCTGACCCAGGAGATTGAGGTTGCTGTGAGCCACCTGAGCCACGGCACTCATCTAGCCTGGCAACAAAGTGAGACTCTGTCTCAAAAAAAAAAAAAAAAAAAAAAAAAAAGCTTTGAATGACTGCATAGGCAGGTTAGGCACAAGGTTGCATTTGCTGAATAACAAATTTATCACATCCGTTCACTTCTTTCTCAGCATACCTCTTCCACCACCATAAGTTTTATCGCAATTTACTGTTTATTCTAAAAATGAATGTCAATTTTTCTTTTAAAAAAAAAAATTCATTTTTCTTAAGTCCCATGAACCTCTTCATTCAACATTATAACTCCTAATTCTTTCTTCTAAACCATCTAGCGACAATTGTTTTTCTTTTGAGTCCCACTTTGTTGCCAGGCTAGAGTGAGTGCGTGGCGTCAGCCTAGTCACGCACCTCAAACTCCTGGCTCAGCATCCTGTCCTGCCTCAGCCTCCCGAGTAGCTGGACTACAGCATGCGACCACCATGCCGCTAATTTTTCATATATATTAGCTGCCAATTAATTCATTATTTATATGAGGGGGTCCACTTTGCTCAGCTGGTTTCGAACTCCTGACCTGAGCAATCTCGCCAACCTCGCCTCCCAGAGTGTCTAGGATTACAGTGTTGAGCCACCGCCCAGGCTAGACAGCAATTTATTTCATTTTTGAGACAGGGTCTCTGTCACCCAGGGCTAGAATGCAGTGGCATCACAGGGCAGCGCAGACAATTTCAGAAACTAGATTCTCACCTTTATTAATGAGCACCCATTTCTGCTATAACAAATTACCAAAAACCTAGTGACTTAACACAACACAAATTATATCTTATGCACTAGGGGTCATGAAGTCTAAAATGGGGCCAGCCAGGACTGTGTCCTTCTGAAGTTCTGGGAGACAAATCCTTGCCTTACCTTTGGCAGCATAGAGGCACCTGTGCCTTGGTTGCAGCTCCTGCATCACTCACTCCTGCGCCTGCTCCCAGGTCCTCTCCCCCTCTTCTCTCTTCTAGCAGGCCTGCGATTGCTCATTGATTCTTTTCATCTGTAATCTAGCTCCCTCCTGCATTACCTTATCCCTTAACCAATCACACCAGCAAATCTTTTTACCATGTAAGGCCATATACAGTTCTAGGGATGGTGCGGATAATTGGAGGCTGTTAATGCAAACCACGGGAGATACACAGCAAGCCAGAGAGTATGAAATACCGTTTAAAAAGCCACCTAATTGTTGATCCCTCTGGATATCTTAAATAGTAACAATTGCTGGCCATTCGTTGAGTGCTTGTGTGCTCTGCATTGGCTTATCTACGCTCTTAAAAAATATTCTAATATATTAGCCTATATAATATCATGTGAGAAAATATCGGAGAAGATTATGTAACATACAAGAGTACACACTGACTAAGAAGGGCAATGATACCTAAGTTGATGTGTTACACCAGCCCCACCGCACATCCCACGATATATTAGAGACACATTCAATCTCTATGTAACTAATCCAATCATGGTTAAAATGTACACATAAGGTTGCGTCCCATCATACTGTACCCGATACTATCATAACTCAGATGTGGCCTCCTCGCATAGCCCTATCCAGTGATTAACATCTGGGGCCTACAGTGGTCAGGAATTGACCTTATAAAAATCTATTCTCCTCGCATACCCCTGAAAATGACAAGCTACTATGAATTTTTAACAATTGTCTCCCCAAACATGACCATTTCTTTAATGTGTGTTACTCCTTTTACTGTCACTAGTAACGCCCCTCCTTTCCTGCTTGTGGACTTTTGCCTAAGCCATCCACTTCTCTCTGTGGTTATTTAGGATTATCTGGGCCAGGCCACAGTGATCTCCTGAAGTGATCAGTCCCTTCCCGAAAGCAGGTGAGATGGAGGTAGAAGAGGGGATGAGAGCCTGTCCTCACATTATGCGCAGTGTGTGTGTAAACGAGCCAGTGGTGCTTGGGAGGGACAGAGGTGTTGGATC